TGTCCCCACCCCTCACCCCCTGCACCCCAGTGCCCCTCTCCCATGTCCCCACGCCCCTCTCCCATGCCCGCACTTCTGTCCTCTGTCCCACGCACCCATTTGGTCACCATTTCTTTGGTTATGTTTGGGAGGGCCTCCTGGCGGATGAGCTCGCTGGGCAGCATGGGCCGGAAGGCCACCTGGACCAGGCACCTCTGAGGGGAGAGGGGGCAGGGAGGCCAGGGCTCGGGGGTGGCCAAGTCCCGCGGGTGCCCTGCCCTCTCCAGCTGGGATTCCCCACAAGGCCACCCCGTCTTTGCCGTTTCAGCCTGGACCCGCCCCTTCGGAAGGCCCTCCCTGAGCACCAACCCGAGGAAGGCGGGGTGGGCTGCAAGGCCTGAGTGCCAGACTCCCAGCCATCGGGGTGGGCCCTGGCGACAGGAGGCACTGGGCAGGGCCCTGACTGCCAGGACCTCACCCTGCCCCAGAGGCCCAAGCCGGAACTGAGACTTCCTTTTCAGCCCCTGCGTTCCAGGGATGAGTCCCACGCCCTGACGTCTCCTGCACACACCAGCCTTTCCAAACCTCCTGCGGGGAAGGTCCCCCCACGACAGATGCCACCCAGAGCTCAGCACAGTGCAGGGGTGGGGGGAACATGGTGGTGGAAAGGGAGAGAAGAGGGAGGGGGAGAGAGTGGGTAGAGAGGGAAGGGGGAGGGGGGAGAAAAAGAGGGAGGAATGGGAAAGAAGGGGGGAGACAAGAGCGTGAGGGGGGATGGAGAAGGCGGGAGGACAACAACAACAAAAAACTATTCACTGAAATCGACTCCCATGTGCTGACAACAGCCTCTGAGTTGCTGCCACCCTGAGGCCCTTCCGGGCCGGCCTTCCTGCTCTGCGGGGAGAAGCTGAGGGAGGGAGGCTGGATGTTGGGACTGAGTCTCTGCTCCTCGATGCCTCCTCCTGCTTGGGAGAGCAACACTTCGCAGCCCAGGGGTCTGCACACCTTTCCTCGGTCTCACCCTGGGAACCCCAGCCAGGTGCACCCCGCCTCTGGAGTCTGGCTGGGCCTCCTCCCACTGCGTGCAGGTGACCCCTGGCCTATACTCGCTGCTCATGAAGGCTGCCTCAGTCTTGCAGGGGTCTGATGGGGGCTGACCCGCGCTCGCTGTCAGGTTGAGCTCCTGTGGCCAAGGGCGGGCAGAGTGTGGCAGCCTGGAGCCACGCTGCCGGCAGCCACACGGGACCCACACCCACCTTTCCTGGCCACACGGTCCCCACGGAGGGTGAGATGGTGATTGGTGAGTCCGGGGGAGGCAGGAACTGGAAGGAAGTGGGCCCCAGCCGGGAGGTGTCCTCGGAGCCCATGCGGGGCATGGTGCGGGCCAGTGGGTTCATGCTCAGGTGGGAGTTGCTGACGTACACTGTGGCCACGGAGGTGTCATACAAGGCTGTGGCCGCAAACTTGATCTGGTAGTGGGACAGCTCCAAGGGCGGCTGGACACCCATGGCCCGGCAGGACAGCTTGAAGCACCTGGAAGCAACCGCAGGGGGAGTGCTCAGCTGGGTGGGACTTGGGGACTGGAGAGGACAGCGACCCCCCCCGGCCCTGCGCACGCCTGGCTCACGGGGACATGTGTGTTCCCGGGGCCCACAGGAGGATGTGCCACTGCAGTCGTCACCGCTGCTCCCTACCCCACTAACAAATTTTGGAAATGGCCTGTATCATGGTGCACATTTTAGGAGAGTAACTGAAACATTAAACACAAAGGTATACTTGTTTATTAGACCTATGGTCTTGCTCTGCCGCCCAGGCTGGGATGGCACCATTGCAGCTCACTGCAGGCCACTGTGTCTCGGGTAGCTAGTGTTTTTGTTTTTTGTTTTTTTTTTTTGAGAAAGTAGGAGCCGGGCTTGGTGGTTCAGCCTGTAATTCCAGCGCTTTGGGAGGCCGAGGTGAGTGGACTGCCTGAGCCCGCGTGTTTGCGACCCACCTGGGCAACTTGGCGAGACCTCATCTCTACAATAAATCAAAAATTAGCCGGCGTAGTAGCGCGCGCCTGTAGTTGCAGCTACTCGGAAGGCTGAGGCGGAAGGATCACCAGAGCCCAGCAGGTCGAGGCTGCGGTGGCCGGGAGCAGCCACCGCACTCCAGTCTGGG